CAGGTGTTTCAAAAGTTAAGCCTTTAAGCACCTTAATCCTGCATTAAGGCAGCTTTATAGGGTTTTGCTACATTTTAGACCGATCCCAAGACTGCCTCTACCAGAATGCAAAGTGCCCCCTCCCCCTCCCTAGAACAATACCACACGGACGCTTGTGTTTTTTTTTTGTTTTTTTTTTTCCAGAACCCGGCTCCTCTTTGGGATTGAACCGAATCACTCTACCTACCTGCACATTCTCAGCGACTGCTTCCGTCGCCGTCGCTTCGGCGGCAGTCGTGGACTTTTGGGGTGGCCGGTTCCGGACGACCCATGACCGTGTCTTGCTCGCCCGGGGCGGTTGCGACCGGGTCGGACGCGGTGGCGGTGGAGGCATGCCTGCCTCTCCACTCCACCGCCTCGTGAAGCCCCTGAGGTTTAAAGACCTCCACGTAACCTGACATCAATATAACACTTGTGTAAAGTCTCAATTAGAAGTACCGGGTGTGCCAGATCGGACGCTGCAGTGTTGCGGGTTTGCCTACTCCCGGCGCCCGTAAGGTCCAAGAGGATATGCAATCCCGCAACACTGCAGCGCATCCCCTCTGATACACCCGGTGCACGGTATACAGTCCAAGGCGGCACTTTCTCGACACCAGCTTTACCTACCAGGTGGCTGATTCACGCCGCACACTTCCGTGGGTATACAACTGTACCGCATGCACGAGTGCGGGCGGGCTTGCCTATCGCCCCTGTCCACGGCGCCTTACGAGCCGAGCGAGTAGGCAACCCGCCCGCACGCGTGCATGCGGTACAATATAACTATGGAAGTGCGCGGCGTGCGGCGTGAATCAGCCACCTAGTGCATCTAAAGAAGAATTGGCTGTTTTCACGCGTATTGGCGCTATCGTACGCTTACGTAAGCGTGAGCGTACCCGACCGGGGCTGCATGACTGTCGAGGCTAGAGCGAGGGGGAACCAACTTGGAAATTTGGTGAACTGTGAATATATTCAAATATTCAATGTCACTGAATACCAGTGAATATCACTGAATACCAGTGAATATTGACTGTGATTGTTGACTAATATCCTTGAATATTGATGAATATCGATGAATATTTTGAATATCTTGTGAATATCGCAAATATCACCTGAATACCTATTAAATATTAACCAGCGGGTGCACTGTGAATAGTCGAAGTTGATGCCCCCTCGGGCTAGAGCGAGAGGTCGCCGCGGCTAGAGAGAGGCTGTGCGCTCAAGTTGAATGGCTCATTGGCCACCTCAAGCTCAAGCTCACAGCCTAACTCTGTGAGCAATGTGCCGAGTCCAGAGACAGAGCTTAGTACAGCGAAGCGATATAAATTCAAAGAAGTGTTGAGAAAATCCCAACTTGATTGGAACACCCTTCATTTAGTACTTGTGTGTGGGAAAATAGAGAGTGCGGAAGTAATTGTCTCACTTGTCTTCTCTTGTCGCATCATATCATGTGGTCCAAATCAAGATCAACATCAAATACATACTTGGTGAGACTGAAAAATGTAATTTTCAATGTGGTAGGGAGACAGAAAAACTGCTTCCTCATGTCTATTGTTAACTGTTTTAAATAATACAAAAAATTCTGAGCCTTAACAGTCTGCTACAAGTATGCGCGAATTGATCACTATGGAGAAACATAGTTACAAATTCTTTGAAAGGAAGAACAATACCAAAAGAGCTCTTCGGAGTTGAATAAAATATTAATGAATACAAGGGGCGGATGATAATGGCAGTGCAACATGACCCTTGAACCAAAACCAGTACAATAAATGCAATCTGAGACAATAGGCCTACGCTTTAAATTTGCCAATAGCTGTGGATTATTAAAAATATGCTGCAATATTTAACAGGGATTTTACATCATTGTTTACATAAATAGCTGACAAAGACAGGTTATAAATTTTGAATTCTTCATTCCGCTTTTGTTAGGCACTTAGAGGTGCTAGATGGGTGGAAAAGTTACCTGGAGAAGAACAAAGGTTGAAAAGTGGAACTGGTACAGCTGGCAAGCAGTCTGGGCAGGCGGTTGGGAGAGACAATATGATAATTCCAGAGCTGTCAACACCAAGTTAAGGTTACTCCTCGCCTCGTATCGACCGTGTATTTGCCACACGCCACACAGGTCTGTGTCGTCGGGTCTCTTCTTTAAGCTCGTGGTGCCATCACTCCCCAGTAGTCCAGTCAGTCAGTCGGTCCGGTTTTGTCGCAGATCGCCGCTGGAGGCGCTGTTGTCGGTGAGCGCAGCGCAAACCCCACAGCATACACTCGACAGCAACCCCCCATCCCGCCGCCGCCCGCCACCTTCCAAAGCCTTCCAAGAGATGACGCGCGGGACGGCAAACCTGTGTACACTCGCAGTTCAGAACTAAAAACGAAAGAGCGATAGTTAACGCCTCACCTCCATTTACTTTGCTGCAAATGGTGTCCTTGTAAGGCAGGCCGTGACGGAGCGTGGCTCGGCAGCCCGGACCCCCCCC